CGAAGCTGTCGCTCTCGCGTCTGCGCATGCGTAATCCTCGCGCTCTGATTGGTCCGCGTTTTTCCTTAACAATTCAAAAACAAAGCTTCACACCACATTTTTGCAAAGGGAAATTTTATTCAGAATCACGTCAGCTATCCCTCATTTCACCTATACTAATTGTGAGACACTCTGTATTTATAAATAATAAAAGAGGCTATAATTAGCTTCTATAAGCTTGATTAATAGACCATTGACATTTTGTACGAATACAAAAGTAAGTTCTATTTTTCATGTCACACCCTGTACGTACGTTCATTGTGGCTGACGAGCGACTTCTGCTTTTTTTATCTCTGTTCCTTTTTGTTTTTTCTTCTCCACACTCACAGAGAGTAAATTGAATAAAGATGAATTGATGGAGTTAGCTTTTCCTTTGAAAGGTCTGGTGACTTTTGTGACGTGAAATGTTGAGCGAACATTTTTGAATATACATATTTGAGAACTTTAAAGGATGACGGAATAATTGCTTTCCTGAATTCAACAGATTGCTATCAAATTATTTTCATCCTCGTTCATGTTCTATTGTTACTAGATTTATAGGTTATGATTAGGTTACGATATGACATTATTCAGTAAAATAATTTTGAAGAATAAACAATTTTAAAATAGTACTTTGATAGAAAGCTATTTTGTTAAATGAAGTTTTTTGAAAAATTGTGCTGTTTAATAAATTATTCTAAAAAATAAACTGCCCTGTAAAATAAATTATATTGACCAATAAATTATCTCAAAAAATAAACCATGATATAAAATAAATTATTTGAAGAATAAATTATTTGTTCAAACTTATAATTTAAAATCTTTTTTTGAAATGTCCAATATTTCACTTTACAGAGACTAGCATGGCGTGCGTTCAATGAACGGACGATTATGGACATAAATTAATATCTCATGAAAATAATCACTATCAATACCATTGTTACCGAAAGATATGATTCAATAAATTTCATCATGTGCTATTCTAGGTTATGCAGGGATTTAAGTACACATTGATTATGTATAATATCCAATGTTCGGTGGATTAATGTTGATTATGGCTACTTCATTATTAATTTATATGCCGGCGTGAAGAGAGACACGTGTTTGCACAGATTATTTCATTATTATTCCATTTCAGCAATTTTGTAACAGTATTAGTTTCTATCGATTCGTTGCATAAAATGTCCGATTTAAATACACTATATTATCCATTTATTAAAAACAAATATTTTATAAAAAAAATATATATAAGAAAACTAAGATTCTTTTAAATTTATTATTATTATTCAACATAACCTAACACAACGTAACCTAACCTCTTAAATTTGTCCAACATAACCTAACACAACGTAACCTAACCTCTTAAATTAAATTCGGTGCACAAAATGTCCGATTTAAACTTGTTATTATCCATTTATTAAAAACAAATATTTTGTAAAAAAATATATTAGAAAACTAAGATTCTTTTAAATTTATTATTATTCTTCAACATAACCTAACCTCTCAAATTTCTTTCAATAAATTCCACAAAAAATATTGCAACTTTTGTAAAAATTCAAGTACCCCGAAACTCGGCATTACAGAAAAGAAAATTTCCACAGAATCGATTGTGACACAGGCACTCGAAAAGCGTGTCCAACACGTAGTATCGGAAACAAATAAATTCGTACAGGCCCGGTAATATACACATCAGGTACCGATTGGTTGAGAAGTCCGAGAATATTTTTGCACGTTCTTCCACGAAATATATTCGAAACGATGCACCATTGAATACCAAAGCCTGCTTGTAGGATTGTGTTGGACCCGCAGCAATGAATAGTTGATGCACCGAAAAAACTCCACTCAATACACCGTTTTTCGATTTCTTCGGTGTATTCAATTTTCTGGGGGATTCTTTAAACGGAAATAGCTCAATAATATACACGGTTTTATTACTTCTTTCGTTACTAAATGCGTTACTTTTTGAAATGTGTATTTTTGAAAAATTGAAAAAATGGTTACTTGATTGAAGAGTGTACGCCATTTTTCAATATGGCGGATAAATTTTACGGAATCTTGAGTCATCAAGTAACTGAGAGAGTAACTAATTAAGAGAGAACTGTTACTTTTTAAAATGTGTATTTTTGGAAAATTGAAAAAATGGTTACTTAACTGAGGAGCGTATTTTGTACGCCATTTTTCAATATGGCGGATAAATTTGAACGAACCTTATTTGATCAAGTAACTGAGAGAGTAACTAAGTAATAGAGAGTTGTTCTTTATTATATAAAGTCAAAATAAAGAATGAAGATGTATTATGAATAAAAAAAATTAACTTTGATAAAGTAACTAACTTTGTTTATTAAAAAGTTCTGTTATTTTTCCGACACACTGTGTTAAGCAGCTGTGGTATATCCACGAATAGCAGGCATATTTAGAGCGCAGTATTAAATGATTGATAAGCCGTGCACATTGGAAACAGACAGTGAAAAGGCGAGTACTTGTAAATCAGAGATGGTCTGAAAAACCATCTAGGTACTCGGAGCACAACCGACGATACCATTCCATTAGAATAATTAAACAAGAACTTTGGCCGTGCAAAGGTGTAGTTTCGAAGTTTAAAACGGATCCCGGTAATTACAGCCGTCGGTTGAATAACGTTCGATAATCTACGAGGTCGAGTTTTGGAATTCCCGTATTACAAATGCACCGCCAACGAAATTATAAAATGGTTCTATACATCGGCGAATTTGTGACACGGAAAAGTAACGAAAGAGGGGTGAAAAATAGAGAGGAACGATCGAAATCACCGAACGGATTGAAAGTTAATTCCGATCACGTTTCGAACACGTGAATGATTTTAATTGACCGCAAACCTGATCAAATTTCCTCGGAAGATTGTTCTCTTTATCCTCCGTTCGATCAAATATTGAATTTTCGATTTCGTAGTGAATGGAGGGAACATCGATAAATTGTGGCTCGGAATTTATAGCTGATTAAACTGTCCGATATAAGTAATTTTATATTTATGTCGCTTCAATTTATAAATTTGTTATCCGGGGATTTCAGCGATTTACTGTATACAATATTTAACACTATTGTATTTGTCTTGAAAATATTCATTTTCATCAAATATTAAACTTTATATTAATACACCATTTTGTAGTACTTTTATGTCAACAAGCTAATGTTTATTTATTAACTGGCTGTCAGCCATTTTGTACGGTAAATGTCTAAAGACAGTTTATATAGAAATTTTCTATTCAAGTAGCTTTTCAATTTATATATAATAAGAGGCATTTTGTATTGAAAATATCAGAGAATAGTTTATACAGAAATTCTCATTAAATAACCTTTCAATTTATATTCAGTATGAGCCATTTTGTAAGAGGTTATGTCATGAAATCATGTCGGACATTTTGTGTATTAATATCACCATATTAATCACATGTGATGAGCAGCCATTTTGTGTATCAAAATTACTGTATTGTTCACATGTGAGGAGCAGCCATTTTGTGTATCAAAATTACTGTACTGTTCACATGTGAGGAGCAGCCATTTTGTGTATCAAAATTACTGTACTGTTCACATGTGAGGAGCAGCCATTTTGTGTATCAAAATTACTGTACTGTTCACATGTGAGGAGCAGCCATTTTGTGTATCAAAATTACTGTACTGTTCACATGTGAGGAGCAGCCATTTTGTGTATCAAAATTACTGTACTGTTCACATGTGAGGAGCAGCCATTTTGTGTATCAAAATTACTGTACTGTTCACATGTGAGGAGCAGCCATTTTGTGTATCAAAATTACTGTACTGTTCACATGTGAGGAGCAGCCATTTTGTGTATCAAAATTACTGTACTGTTCACATGTGAGGAGCAGCCATTTTGTGTATCAAAATTACTGTACTGTTCACATGTGAGGAGCAGCCATTTTGTGTATCAAAATTACTGTACTGTTCACATGTGAGGAGCAGCCATTTTGTGTATCAAAATTACTGTACTGTTCACATGTGAGGAGCAGCCATTTTGTGTATCAAAATTACTGTACTGTTCACATGTGAGGAGCAGCCATTTTGTGTATTAAAATCATCATACAGTTCACATGTGATGAGCAGCCATTTTGTGCATCAAAACCACCATATTGTTCACATGTGATGAGCAGCCATTTTATCTTAAAAATACTAACAAAACCTAACCTTTCCATTAAACCTAAAGCTCCAAATTAATGTACCATAAGTGATTTACAAAAAAGCCTAACTAGAAATATATTTTATTTTTAATAAAAATGAAAACAAACCTTTCTTATAAATATTTCAGTTAAAAATGAATGAACTCATACCTCTTCAGAGACAAATAAGCTCTGTTGTCCTTTTCCATATGCATGACCCCCTCGCAGATCATGGCAACTTGAACCAAAATGGCTCCCATGAGGAAGCTTAGTCCAATGGCGCTCTGTCCGTATCTCCTCAAGAAGGTCATCAGGAAACCGAAGCCGATCCAGATCATCACATGGACATCTTGATACACTGAGATGTTTTAGGAAACAAAAAGAGCTAACTGTAGCCGCATGCATGGCTCGCGTGCTGTTAATGAGCGACACAATGCTGGTTTGCTTCGTTGCTTGCTCGTTTGTTTGCTCGTTCTGGTACGAGAGTGCTGTTAATCGCGCGTTAATTGATCGCCGCAATTACGTGGTTCCGTAATTGGTTCACGAGGGATGGAACTTTTACCAATTGCGGAGGGAAAGTTACGCGTGAAGGTCCATTTACAGACGTTCGGTGGGTGGAATACGATCATTGTATAGGTTAGGATACTGTATGATGGAAGGCTCGTAAATTTAGGCTTATGATGGAAGTATTAGTTGCAGAGTTTTATGAGGGTGAAATAGAATTTTGTGGTTTTTATTTAGGGCGATATTGGAGTGGGGGTTGAGCAAATTTTTAACTTGTTAAATTTTTTATTTGAGGATTTTATGTTTTTCAAGTTTTAAATTTTGAAATTTTTGCTTTTATTAAATTTTTAATTGGAGGATTTTGTGCTTACTGAGTTCAAGTTTGAGGATCAAAAAATTATGTAGTTTCAAATTTGAGAGATTGAAAATTTACTGATTTCAAATTCACTTTTTTCACATTTAAGGGTTTTTAATTCATTTATTTCAAATTTAATGCTTTCTAATTTGTGCAACTTCAAATTTATGGATGAGCATTTTACCAAATTTCAAATTTAAGGTTTTTAAATGTTTCATATACCAAATTCAATAATTTCAGATTCACTTATATCAAATTTAAGAGGTTCTATTTTACCAAACTTCAAATTTATAGATCAATATTTTACCAAATTTCAAAATTAAGGTTTTTAAATGTTTCATTTATGAAATTCAATGATTTCAAATTCACTTATATCAAATTTAAGAGTTTCTACTTTATTAAACTTCAAATTTATAGATCAATATTTTACGAAACTTCAAATTCAAGTGTTTCAAACATTTCATACATCAAATTCAATAATTTTAGATTCACTTATATCAAGTTTAAGAGTACCTACTTTATCAAACTTCAAATTTAAAGACAAACATTTTACCAAACTTCAAATCTAAGTCTTTAAAACATTCCAAACATCAAATTTAAAGATTAATGACTCAAATAACATAGAAGCTTAATCTAAAACATACACCTAAAATCTAGTAGCGTACAAGGTTGATATTACTACTGAATTCCCCCCGGTTCCGCGTGAAATTAAACGGGAATAAATCAGACGCGTGAAGAGCCGGATTAAGAGTCGACACCTTGTTCGTATAAAACACGTTCGTAAATCATTGGAAAACGGTGAACGTCTTAGGCCATTTCGAAACAGATAATTCGTGCTTTCCCCGGGGCTCATCCATCACCGACTGTCGCTACTTGCAGTTCTCGTGAATGCATAATAATCAGCAAAATCGTGGTGATTTGGGTCGACGTTTTTGTTGGGGGACTCGATCGAACATGCTTCGAGACTTAAACATCCCCTATTCCTAAATGAGTCGCTCAATAAGCTTTTATTCAAATTAATTCTCATATTTCTTCCTTTTTATCTTGGTACAATTCGAAGAACCACTCACAGACTTCTTAAAACATTTTTGAAGATCATTTTTTATATAGAAACATTAAATTTTTATGTAAAATCGAACAAATTGATGAGTTTATGCTGCAAGAAAATTTAAACGAAGAAATATTTGTGGAGATACTAAATGATTTTTTCGTTCATAAAAATTATTAGAATAATTTATGTAAATTTATTATAAAGCAGTACAAATGATTGTTGTAATTTTTCAAATTGAAGAGACTTACTGAAAGATTCATTTGCATTTTATTATTATTAACAGAAGTTCAAAGGTATTTTCTTTAAATTGAGATCATTAAAAAATGGCGTCCTTCTAGTCTTCAGTTCTACAAGTTCTTTAGTTCTTCAAAAATGTAAAACTGTGTGCAATTTTCTTAGTTTAAAATTTAGTAAGATAAATTTTGGAAGCCACGAATCGATAGGTAGAGGTGTTTCTAGCGAATGATTTCCTTGGGAAGTGATCCAGGATCAAAGAAGATGCTGTCTCGATGGGTGATCTATTTATTTATCATAGGTATTGCGGTGTCCCTGTCACTGGTGCAATTTATATGCGGATAACCGATGATCGAGGAGTCAAGTCGAAATTCAAGTAGGTCGAAACCACATTTCATAACCGAGGAGCTCTTCTCTGATCCGTTCGTAGTCTGCATGTATCGTCTCCATATTGGACGTGTGGAAAACGTATCAGAAATATTAAGGCTTTTCAAAATTAACATGTTACTATACAGAATTTAAATGTGAAGAAGTATAATAAAAATTGGGATAATAATTTTCTGTGAAGATATTTAAAAATGAATTCAACTTGATGCGAACTTAGGTTAGGTTCATTTATTTGGGGTTTATGTGAAATATTGTTGTGTGTTATGAAACATGGAGGGACTTTTATTAATTAATATATTATATAATATTAATTTAGATAATTAACTAGGTTCAAGTGGTAGTAGGTCATATTAGGTTCATCGATGAGGTTCTGCAAATTTTGAGGTTAGGAATTCAATGTATCTTAAATATGAAATTTGGAACAGAAATCTTGCAAATTTTATTTTAAGGACAAGTTTGAAGATGTTAAATTACTTCAATTTTAATTACACAATGTCAAACTTAAAAATATAAATGTTTACAAATTTCAAAAATGGAAGACAAGTTTCTAATAAGAACAAATCAAACTTAAAAAAAAATTGAACCTATAAGAACGTATCAGATAAGAAAGATTAAAACGACTCTCATTCCAAACAAACTTTAAGTACGATTTCCTCGAGTTTCTCCCAGATCCAAAATTGAAGCACAAAAATAAAATACGAGATAATCTGGCGAAGAAGTAAAGTAAATAGATTAATGTTCTCACGAAGTTGTCATTTCTGTAGTCAGAAGTAAAATCCCACGAAACAAGGATAACCCAAGTAAAAACCGGAAGCCCGTGGAAACGGTAGCTTCCCGTGGAAATTATTCGAGCCGCGTGCAGGTAATCTATTTATCACTTGAGGCATTGCTGTCCCTGTCGTGACTTTTATACGGGAGAGGCAATGACGAGAGAATCGTGTTGCCGTTTTGCTTGTTCGCATCCATCAAACGGTAATTTTCGAAAAGCCCTGGCAGATTCGAGCCGAGTCATGGAAAGGTAATGGAATCGACGACGATAAAGTTGCAGCGAAATCGCATTAGCCGACTTTCAAACCGAAGATAATTGCCTTCCTCGACGACTTAATTCGATTAACCCTTCGAACGAACAGTTAAGCCCCTGTAATTCTCTTCTCAAACTGTTTATTGAAATGTTTCGTATTTCTTCTTTTCTTCGCGAGACTCTACACAAATTACATTCGATCAACTTTATACCTATTTTATCTCTTTTCTTGCTTGATGCATTTTATTTACGTATTTTAACCTTGCAATTTTTTTTATATATTATATAATATAATTTATATAATTGTTTAATATATATAATGTATATAATTGTTTAATATATATATTGAATATAACTGTTTAATATATGTATAACAATGTATATAACTGTTTCATATATAATAATGTATATAACTGTTTAATATATAACAATGTATATAACTGTTTAATATATATAATATATATAACTATTTAATATATATAATATATATAATTATTCAGTACATATAATGTATAATAGAAATAACTTTTCTGTATGAGAATGTCTAAAAGATTTGAACATATGTAAATTTCTAAGTTACCGACCGAGTGCCTCCATTTTACGACCGCGTAACGCCGCCATCTTGTCTTCATACTAAAAGCCTATTCCACTATCCACATCAACTAGAAAGTAGTTAAATAAATCACACAAGAAAAGTCTCCGCACAGAAAATAGTACCACGACAAAAAAAAAACGAAGAATAAAAGAAAAAACAAAATAGTCGGAGTTTAAAAAGAGAGAAAGACAATGGAGTGCCGTCGTGTTTTTGGACTTTTCACAGCGTTCTCGTTCCTTAACCGTGGCAATTTCCATAAGAAGGAAATTTCGTCCACGTCGCATGAAAAGCGATTTCCATAAGAAAACACGTACACTCGGCCTCGGCTGGCTCGGATCCCAGCGAAAATTTATAATCTTTGAAGAGCAACGAGATTACTGTGCCAATTATGCTTCTGGTCTGGAGACGGTTTTGTAATCTACACAAAGTATCACTTTGAAATTCAAATTCTACGGCTAAAGTGTTGACCACGTGTTTATCCCTGGCCAGGGATTTCTCGAGAAACGGCCGAAAAGCTTCGCTACGTTTATGACGATAATAACATGCATAATCGTGTTATTTTGCCTGCGAGATTTTCGAAACGTTTAACCTGCGATTAATATTTAAGCTTTTTGTCTAATGTGTGGTAACGAGAATGCGGTGCTTTAAAAATTTCGGATTATTAATTTCCTGGCGTATTAATTCGTGTACAAATTGAGTTGCTCTTGCAGCAACGCGGAATTAATAAATATTTCAGTCTTTCAGCATTATTAATTAATACCGTGGATACGCGTTTCCATTGTAGAATTTGAAGGGTCTGTCTTTGCAGTGTAGGAACCGATCATAATTAAATGAAAGCATTTGTAATATAAATTTAATGAATTCCCATGAAAATTCGTGGAATACGGAATTATTGAAGCCATAGCAATGTAAACAATTTATACAAATCCCTTTGAAATTATTGCACAGAATTTCGTCGACGGCAAATCGAAACAAGTGCTGTTAAATATAATTGGAAGTTCTTTGGGGGCTGTTTTAACGAGCTTCGAAGAAATTAAGAATTGTCATCGGAAAACAAGGTTGATTTCGAGTGAAGCGTCGTAAAGAGGTTTCCGGTGTAGAAACGCGACGTTAATGTACGTACTTTATCCGACTCTAAAGTTAAATCCACCGAAGTCTGTTCGTCGTTATGCAACTGCACGAGTTTCTCGGAGTATTACGCACGCGTCTTG